TCACAGTATCGGTCATTCTAAGGAAAAAATTGTATATGTACATGTGTTCGATTCCGAACGGTTTCCGAGATTGAGCTACTTCACTGTGCAGTTCCAAAATTGTTGATAAGAAAGAGATACATGTATCACGTACTGTTTTTAATACCGGTATTTAATGTTCAAGTGATAAAGTTGGTGCAGTTTATCTAGTATAATATATTGTCACGTGTTGGGTATGTAACGCGACAAATAACTTCACGCCGTCTTGGATATAGCGAATTTATTGAACAGTCGCTCTTACAGTTACACAAGCACTGCCATCTGCAGTATCACAATTACTTCTCATGCTGGAGTCCCTGCCATGCACTCGATACGACGTAACAGCAACCCGTAGCTGCTGGACTTCAACTCATACTGAATACTAGTAACTGGCTCAATGCTCACTACCCCTGAATAGTGTTCGCTGCTCCTTATTTAGGCTCGGCACGGACAATGTTGTAACCGTTGCCTCTCTATCTGTTAACCGTTGCGACGTCTTCTTCGGAAGCGCCTCTTCTTCAACTGCTCTCCTCACCCTCTTCTTCTGCTTCTTGTTGATGGTGCCACCTACCTTTTTTTATTTCTTCTTAATTTATTTTCTCAGGGTTAGGATTAAACTTATCAGGGTTGATAGGATTAAGTTTTTCAGGGTTGATATGATTAACAAGGGTGAGGTTGTTGGGAGCGGTAGAGCTGAGTTCTCTGTCTCAAAGTCTTAACGGGCCACACTTAGAAAGGCAGGTAGGACACTTATGCAACACCACCACACTTGAATTTCAGAGGTATTATTACTCTTGATCAGTTGCGACACTTTCATTTTACAATTTATCAAACACTTGTTACTGTCGGACTGTTTGCCACATTCTAAATTGAGCTCGTCCTGTTTAATACTATTATTATTAGGGCCCGGATTTTTATGACCTAAAAACTATAAATATATGCATGCACTTATGACCCAAAATGATGTCAAATATGACCTAAAAAGTGTAAAATATGACCTTAAATATTAAATGGGACATAAAATTTCACAATTTTAATTACAACTTTTACTAGAGTTTAAGAATAAAGATGATGAATATATGATAGTAGGTCCTACTTACCAAATTAGCCCTATTATGTCTCTGAAGGAAAGAAAACTGATGGAATTTCGACATTTCGTACTGGATTAAACCATTCATTGTTTTCTTTTTAATACTGATATTTGCGTTCATATTTTAGACAAACACTGGTGCACATGGTATGAACACTAACTTAACTCTGTTATCTAAAAACACCATTTAAAAGAACACAAGCTATTCACGTCTCAATTTTCACTGAGTTATTCACGTCTCAATTTTCACTGTTACAGTTGCAATTTATAACTACATGCATTTTCAAATTTTCAAATTTGAAAGATCGCCGATTATCACTAAGGATAGTTTTGTATTTGGAAAAACTTCGTTCCACATCACATGATGTGACAGGAGCATATTTGAAGAATGTCAAGTCGTTTGGTGACAGTTCTGTATCATCTTCGAATGTTGCTAGTTTACCGGAAAGTATATCTGCAATCTTGCATAATGTTGAATAACCAGCATTCCGATGAAGAACACTTTCTATTTTGGTTTTAATCCTGTCACTTATTTCACCACGAGTTCGGTTTAGTTCATTCTCAATGCTCTTTGCAGTGTCCAACGTGTCACAGAGTTCAGTACCTACAAATTCCGGGCGAGTTATTGCACCTGAAATTGAACAGAAGTTTGACTTTATGTATGCCAGATTTTGTGCTAGAGTGGTAGAGAATAAGTCCTTGACAGCTTTAATTGATGTTGACTCACTGCTGTCAAAGCCATTAAACATTTTCTCAATGGCTGTGTAATTTTCACAATAATATGCCACAGCATCCAACCATGTACCCCACCGTGTGACGACAGGCTGTGGAGGAAGTGGCAGTAGAGGAGCTTCTTGTTTAAATTTCTGCACTCGAAGAGGGGCCTTGATGAATATTTTCTTTCCGTTTGAAACTAGCCTATCTACATCAGGAAAATGTCCTCGAACTTCTTCAGCCACTCTATGCAATGCATGAGCGAGGCAAGTAATATGGACCATTTTCGGGTAGAGGATTCGAAGTCCTTTGGCAGCCTTCTTCATGTATGGAGCGGCATCTGTTACTAGGAGAAGGACATTATTTCGCTGTATTCCATTTGGCCACAACAACTTCATGGAATTATCAAATAGGACAGCTATAGTCGAATGATTTGCTCTTTCGAGAACTTCACAGTCAAGAAGAAATCTCTCTCCAGGTTGATCTTGTTTCAGGGTCCCAACTATAACATTCGCAATATACCGCCCATCTACGTCAGAAGTCTCGTCCAAGGAAACCCATATCTTGTTGTCAGCAACAGATGTTCGAATCTTATTTAACATATCTTCATAACATGTAGAGAGATAATTCTTTCTTAACGTCGATTCACTTGGGATAGGATGACTAGTGTATGTCTCCAAAAATTGTCTGAAGTGCTGATTATGCAATTTCTCTAATGGAATATTCGAAGATACCATCCACTGACACAAATCCTTCGAAAATTCCGACCCATTGTTCATTGAAGAAGGTGAAGCAGAAGAAGAAGAAGAAGAAGAAGAAGTAGTAGAACAATTAGTGGAACTGTTTTTAAACAACAAACTTTGTCTGCTATCCTTTGTAGATAATCTGCTTAAACATTTACCATGTTTAAAAGTTTTACAATGCTGCTGCACAGTAAATCGCTTTTCTGCCGTAACTTTCACGCCACACAACTTACAATAAAATATCTTGCCATCGGTACTAAACACTTTTTCACCAAACTCCTGTACAAAACTACGCAACTTTGCGCTCCTTGAACTACATGTACTCACTTTAGGCATTGTAAAGTCAAACTGAAGTCTTATAACGCCCTCCACATATATAAATAGAATACTTCTAAGCCCTCCAAGAAAGAATGGGATGTATATACCTTATAGTAAGACGGAGTACAATAGGAAAATACCCGTTACACTTGCCTCCCTCCTGCCTCGACTGGGAAAGGCTGGCTTGCCAGGTCATAAATGCTGCATTTCACAAATTTTCGCCTTTGTAACTGCAAGTACAGTCCAGTCAAAAATATGGTTTTTAATACGAACTTCATGTACTTGAACTCTATTCCACATTGAAGCAACAGTCCAGCCTGAAATTTATTTTGTAATACTAAACATTATGGAGCCGAAATTTTACATTATATCAAAGAATTGTTTCTAAAATGACAAAAATATGACCTTATTTCAAAATTATGCCAAAATATGCTGTAAAACCAATAAAACTCTAAAATATGCATTTATATGTACAATAAAAACGACATAATTTCAATAAGAATGACTGGAAACATGCATAATTACATTTAAAAATAGGAATAAACCCTAGGAAAAAATATGACATGTCATAGAAATCCGGGCCCTAATTATTATATTTCTAACCGTGGTTTCACACTTCACAGCAGATTATTACACTTTATCATTACAGCTTGTTACTACAAAGTTATTTCTGATCTAGATAGCCCCGTATGTGACTTCATGTCTTGTCCTTCCCCTCGACCCCCGGTTTCCGACTCCACGTCTGGTCCTTTCGACCCCCGGTTTCCGACTGACGCTGAAAAATGACGCTTGCTCGGACATTCAATTCCTGGCTTTTACCAGCGTCCTTCTTCTGTCACACACTCAAATTTCCGTGATTGGTCAGTTTAAAATTTAGAGGTATTCTAATTAGGCATTCCTCCAATCACTTTAACTCTTACAAATGGGTGAAGAAATTCTGCCTTAACGAACTCCTGTCAAAAAATGACGAATGTGTAGCGTGGCTTGGGCTGTAAACCCATAACCCTGCTTCTCTCTATAGCTCGTAGAAAATTGTCAGCTAAAGAACTCACAAAGACTTCAATGGCCATTCTTTACGTAACTTTCTCTTAATAAATCTTCAACGGGTATTTCTCTGCTTTTGGTGTAAGCGTGGGAAGACGCTAGCTCTTAAATACAAGAATTGACCTAAGTCTCACTACACTTGTTCATGTCCTTACATCTAACAATTAAATTTCAAATTAATAACATAAATCATATTTAAATAGGCAGCACGGCAGTGGAACTGTTACAATATAGAGAACACATTGCTGCTCTGCAACAGATATCAGGTATTGTTGTCAGGTGTTTCTACCTACGCATTGCCTAGCAATAGTCGCTGCACGGACTCGCCTGTTGCGTGACGTCCCAGACTCGCGGGGAAGGGTGTTTACCGAGCGTTGCGTAATGATGGAAGGAGTGGGGGTGTGTGTGACGTCACTCGCGAGAACGAAGAGTTCACGCGACCCCTACTTCCTGTTGAGCCATCCACGTTACAATAGTTTCGAAAATTCTGCCAACGCAAATGCACTTCGCATCTCGTGTTGAGGACATGGCGTGTTGCTTGTCTGTACAGTGTACAATGAAACAGCTCTATCTCGGAAACCGTTCGGAATAGGACACATGTACACACACACTTTTTGTTTAGAATGACCGATACTATGACCTACCACAATATTGACCTTTCCTCCTGGGAAAACCTGTAAAAACGCGACTTTTTTTCTACACATATCTAATTACAGAGGCAATTTGTATCCCCATTCGTATGCAAATCACTGATAAGCGAAGAGTACTATCTTCTAGGATATAACGCCGCGTAGTCCGTTGAAAGTCAACCGACGTTTCGGTGGAACGTATCACCTCCATCTTCAGGGTCGAAGGATAAGCAGAGCAAGAAACCAACGGGAAGCAGGTGACAAGCAGAGCAGAGAGCTTCCTGCTCGTCTTACCTTCGACCTTGAAGATAGAGGCATACAAGTTTCTGCGAAACGTCGGTTCGTTTTCAACGGACTACACGGCGTTATATCGCAGAAGATAGTGCTCTTCATAACCACTGGTGTGAGAACATCAGATCCTACATAGATAAGCTGTTTGCGTACCTGCAGCTGGAACATCTCGTACACGACCAAGGCGTAGTCCACGAAGAGGGAGTTGCCTCGGATGACGGTGAGGTTAGGAAACAGCTTGCCCAGACTCGTGAGCCCTGCCACTCTGTATACGAGCAAGTAATCGGTGATCTCGCGGAGCTCGGGAAAGCTGAACCTGTAGTAGTCAGTCTCATTTGCCCTGTCTATCAGCACGACGCGCACAAACCCTTCCACAACGCGGCAGCCGCTGAGACGTTGCAAGGCCTGAACTCTGTTCCGTATATCCATGCTACGGCAGATCTTGCCGCCTTCCTTCGCCACTTGCGTAACACTACATGTCACAAGTAACCCGATACACAAATACACATACATGTACGCTTTTACACCCCTACCGGGCCTCAGCCTGAACAGTGAGCCCTTCCTTGCAGCTGCGCACAACATATTCCACATGCTTCACTTGTGGACACTGGACTGTCTTGAGTACATACGCTATAGCAATACAGGCACAAGTGTTCGGATGGACAACTGTGATGTACTTGAATTATTACACACTGCAAGCCATATCAATGCCTTATCCGGTGAGGTTATGACGATCAGTTGATATGAAGTTGTGTAGGCCACAGTTCAATCACTCGACTTTGCCATGAAGGAAAGAAGAAAGACAGACATTACTGCTTAATCCGACACATTTCTTACTTACCAGTAGATACAGAGAAAACAAATATCGTTACAAAGTGAAACCTGGTATACCGCACTAGCTTTCAGCATTGTCACTGTTCGTGTCACCGCGGCGGTCATTCCAACGCGCGCTTACTGAGTCCGAAACGGCACTGGCACAGGTATACACGAATCAGCATGTTTCCTTATCGTTCTCATTCCTAATGACATTAGTAGCAGATAACACTATCAATAGTTACATATAATATATATTTCTTCCGATCAGAAGCGGGCACTCCGTGTCAGTATCTGTAGAGTATGTAAACATGTCCGGCGGTCACAATAATTTACACTTTTAATAAATTACTGATAGACCCAAACTGTCAATAAACTGGGTTAGTTTATGAAGATGCTATTTTTGTTACATGTTTCGGTCATTTGCCACCCTCATCAGGCGTCTGTAAACAAGAAAATGCGTCCACATTCACTACTCGACTGCCTGTCGCAGTGTATCCATTGCTAATAGTCTTGTCATGAAAACGGTTTTACGTAAGATTAATGTGTAATTATATTTAATATATTCAATATATTAATATACATATGATTGTTTAAATATATTTAGCGTATTAATACATTAATATATTATTACATAGGATTAATGTTTAAAGATATCTAATATCAATATTTTTAATTCTATGTAAACATTTACATGAAAGGACTATTAGCAATGGATACATTGCGACACGCAGTCTAGTAATGAACGTGGACGCATTTTCTTGTTTATAAACGCTTGATTTTCCCGGTAATTTGAGTAAATCAGTTATTTACTGAAAGTGTAAACTGTAGTGATGGAAGGACATATTTACACAGCAGCAACATACGCAATAGGATGCAAAACATACGGATGAAACTGTAGTGTTCAATTGTTGTACGTAAACAGGCCAACAGTCTGGAACTGAAATTCCTCTCATAGGATAAGGAAACGTTCGCAGAATTATTCTGAATTCTGCGTTATTTTCAAGTCTTGTATCGATTCTTCGACATATTTCGAGTTCGAGACTTCACTTTCCTTTTCGTACCTTTAACAGCCCTAACCGCTGATACCGAGTTATATAATATGATTCTAAATTAATGTCGGGTTTACATGCCCCCCCCCCACTTACGCACTCATGGAGCTGAGCCCCTCTTGAAAAGCTGCCAATTGTGCAACTACTCAAGAAATTCACAGCCTTTTATGGAACCCGAAGGTTCATTATCGTGTTCACAACAGCCCTCCAGCAGTACCTATCCTGAGCCAGATCATTCCAATCCATCCCATCCCATCCTATCCCTCTTCAAATCGGAAACAACAAAATAAAGCTGCTTAGGGAATGAAGGAAAAGGTAAAAAGAAGTTAAAGCTGTCCCTGTAACAGGCAGTGGAGCCCATAGGGCTGCGAGATATTGAACCTCCCACATTTTCACAGTTGACAGGTTGTCAGCCTTATTCGCCTGCCGCCTTTTACACCCAGAAATATTCCTGGTGCTCATTTCTGTTAGAGGCTGAATCGATCCCAGGGACATAATGCGGCTGGGAGGATTAGATTAATTGAAAACTCCAATGACATAATCGGGAATCGAACCCGCGACCTTCCGGCTGGTAGCATAGTGCCTCAACCAAATGCGCTACCCCGTGCCCATGAAAATGCGTATTCAAAACGTTTTTATTTTTGAGTTACAATTTCATATTCCTTAAGCAGTTTTATTTTGTTGTTTCTGGTTTGAAAATTATAGGTCACTGAAACTCCGACAATAATTTAGAAGCGCCCTGGCCTATACGAATATGTTACATATTTGTTTTATTCAAATAGCAATATTTTAAACTGTAATTAAAATTGTTACCCATTCTTACTCAAACTCATAGCAGTGTTAAATATCCTGAGATGTTTTGGCACCTGGTGTGAGCCTGAGGTGAGTGTTCAGCTATTCCTCACCGTTGGATTCAGCACAATTCTTCCGCAGCATCGTTTCATGCATTATTACTAACTTAACTTTTTACGTAGGAGCCAGGATAGCGTAGTCGGTGTAGCGACTGGCTACGGGCTGGACGACTGAGAGGTCGGAGTTCGAGTTCCGGTAGGGTCAAGAATTATCTTTTCTCCACGTCGTCTAGACCGGTTCTGGGGTTCATCCAACCTCCTATCCAATGGGTACCGGGGGCTCTTTCCCCGGGGGTAAAGCGACCGGGACGTGAAGCTGACCACTCACCTCCACCTAGTTCCGAAGCCAAGAAAATGTGGCTCTATATATCCACTCCCCCATACGCCTCCATGGCGTAGTGGTTAATTACTTAAGCACAGTGACAACTTTATTTTTCCTTGCCACTACAGCCCCAGTGGGCCTAGGCCTACCTCCATGAACTTCTCCTATCACTTCGGTTTTTCTAGATCTTACACATTCGGTAGGACTCCTTGGGCAGGTGATCAGCTCGTCGCAAGGCCTCTACCTGTAGACAAACACAGAAAAACGCACACACACAAACTAAACATCCATGACCTGAGGGGGATTCGAATTCCACGATCCCGGTTTCCAAGCGAGCGAGACAGTACATGTCTTAGACGGCTCGGCTCCCGTGACCGGCCAGGGAGAACTTTACCTTACATATTTACGCGTTGGCCAGTCACATTATATACATTGATCAATAAATCTTTCTGATAAAATTTCTGTTGTATGGTATAAAAGTTCTATTTAATTTATTACAATATTCTGCAACTAATTATACTGCCGAAAGTAGTCTTAGAAGCGTTGATACACTGACCTCTGAGCGAGACAGAAACATTTGTAGGGCCAAACGAGGGCGATAGAAGGGGCGACAGCATTCCTGCTTAGTTTTTGGGTGGTCCAGAATATAATATAATATAATCTCGGCTCGGACACTGCTCTCCTGGCCGAGGTATTCGTGGTTTTCTCATTCGCCAAAGTAAATTCCATAGTAAATTGCTGCCTAAAAATGGTGACCGCTTCCTTTCACATACTTTCCAATTCTACATCCACCCATCCACCCACCCATCCATCCATCAGTCCATCCATCCGTCCACCCATCCACCCACCCATCCATCCGTCCACCCACCCATCCATCCATCCATCCCCCCCCCCATCCAAGCACCCATCCATCCACCCATCCACCCACCCATCCATCCACCCATCCACCCA